TGCTGTGCAACACATTACTGTAAATACTGCTTCTAAAGGCCGCCCACACCGAGAACAATAACTATAAATACATAGTTTTAAAAATGGTTCTACTTCAAATGGATGGATTCCTCACCACAACTATAACAACAATGACAGTGGTGAACGATATTATTGGGATCATTTTCAGAGTGATTTGATAAAAAACATATTGTGGTATACAACTTATTAACGGCTTATATAACGTAATTTTAGACTGCAGATTACACATTAAAAACAACATTTTGCGTGAGACATAAAATGGCCAAATGGCCTTTGCTGCTGGTTTGGTCTTTGAAGTTTGTTTGCTTGTTATTGTTATAGTTATTGTTCTTGGTGTGGACAGCCTTTCATACTGGTTTTATATTGTCATAATACAATTTCACCTAAAATATACTATAAAATTATTGCTTAGCCCTAGTTCAGGGGCAGATACAGTTTACATAATTTGGAAATGAGTAGGAAGATAACAGACATTGTTTGGAGCCTCAAGAAATGTTTGTAATTCAGGTATAAAAGGACTTGAATGTGAATGATGAATGAATTAAAACTTCAGTAGACTACAGTCTGGTTCAGACTGTCTGGTTCATAAACAAACTGAAAAATATCGGCAACCAACATCTCTCCAAGAAAACTGTCTCTCTTGAATAATCAAAGTCAGTACATTTGTTCTGCTAAATTGGTCTCAAAAGTTAATGTCATTCAGTCTCTTTTTTAATAATGACATTTCCAAAACACATTGTCTTTGAGATTGAGGCTCGAAAAGAGGAATGTTTAGAGGGGGTTGTTTACGGTCACAATCTGTGGCATTGCTGCTGTCTAGTCCCATGTCCCCCTTGGCCAAAGTCTGGATAACCTACCTCCAGTAACTGACAAAGATGACCATAGGCTGTTGTTCAGCTCTGAAAACCTGTGAGATATTGCATATACTCAAAAAGACATGCATATTTTCTTGCTAAAGAATACACTCTTATTTAGACAGTTTAAAATATTGTAGATACTAGTAGAATTCATTTGAAAGATTTCAAACCAAGCAGTCAGATAGAGAGCTAAATATCAGTGTATGTTTTTGTGGCTTGGAAAATCCTTCACTCTTGTGAGCGGTCCTTAATGCTCATTGCCCTGAGTATTTACTGTATACTGTTACACAACATTGCAGTTTCCATATTACTCTCATTAAAATCTAAGAGATAAACTCAGACATGTGTTAGCAATCACCGCAGTCTCTCTGATTTCCTGCAGACTGCTCTGTATGTTGGCTATTATACATGTCATGATAAAGGACTGCAGGGAGACCCCATACCTGCCCTCTGCTCTTTGTTCAGCTCGGATCTTGTGGTGCTCTCTTTTACCATAAGGCATTTTCCTTTTTATTTCTTATACGTTTGTGATTTGGAGTTATACCTCTGCTTCTCCTTTTTAACTGTGTAACAATTCCGTTTAGCTCAAATTCTAGCAGAGGTACTCGGAAAGATATAATAGGTGCATAGGAGTTTCTTACAGTCAAGTACATTGTTAACTCATTTAGACTTCTTGCATGCAAAGGAGTCTAATTTATGTCAAGTAGTTACAGGATGTTGTTAGCATGAAACAGTGCAGTGCATTTCTGAAGGCCTGAGGATTTAGAGGGGATTACTGCAAGATTGGTTTGCATGGAATCATTGTTGAAGCTCTTAGTTCTTAGGTTTACGGTTATTGTATTAAAAAGGTCAAGGTGTACATTCAGCTTGTCTTTTTTTTCCCTCTCTTGTCTGTAGGTGTGGTGAGGCAGTTGAGAAGAATAAGCACCTGATCACATTGGACCAGAAAGAGTACCAGCAGGAGCTGAAGAAAAACTACAACCGCCTAAGAGAGAGCCTCAGGCCTATGCTGGAGAGGAAGATTCCCGAGCTCTATAAACCCATCATCAGGCCCCGGCTGGAGAACAGGTAAACAGACCCACCAAGTCAAACAGCCAGTACTGCTTTGACAAGAGAGAGTGAGGTGAAAAAAAAACACATATCATTGATCTTTTCATCACCCGGTATGATTGCGGAACCCAAAGGAAAGTGAGAACAAATGGAATTGAGCAGAGATCCTTTCACACTGTCTGTGTCACCTTTGCAAATATTGATAGCTGAACCTGAGCCACAGTACACAGATTGAATGTTGAACCGGTGCCACGGCCAAATTGCACTCATGTATTACTAAAGACTGATTGCTCACTAAGTGCTTTTATGATCGACCATGATAATCTTGATAAATCTTGGAGCAGTGCTGAGGGATGAGCATGTATTTCAAAGGGATACTCATCCCCTCTGGAATGTGAAGAGGGCTCTCAGGATCAGTTGTATTTATGATAGAATGAACTCAGATGTGGACGATTGTTAACACCAGCAAAGCATATATATAAAAATATCAGTATAATACAAAAATATAGCCCTGTTTATTCCGGTTAATTGAGGTCAATGCCAATATTGATACGTGAGAGAAATCCCAAAATATATCGACACATATTTATATATACACAGATACATCTGCAATATGCTAACATTAGCTAGTATAATGGCTGTCAATTTATCTGCCAAATAAAAAAAGCATATACAATCCGAGTTGCAATAACCTTAATATTGTACACTAATTACTCATGTATGATCATGTCTAACACCTGGGCCAGTGTGAAGCATTACCGTAGCTAATGGGTGAGTTTAGTGTGAAAAAACAGTTTGTAATTGATATAAAAATTCATATTTTTGTCTCTACTATTACCTGCCCTGACCATTACTCCTCCTCATCATCATCATCATCATCATTCCTTGCGCTTGTTTGTCTCCCCCCCCTTCCATCTCACAGGGAGTCCTTCAAACGTCTAAGTTTCCGCAGAGCTCCGGAGGAAAACTCCTGAGATGCCACAGCTCGTCTCAGAGAGAGAGAGAGAGAGAGAGAGAGAGAGAGAGAGAGTGCTACGGAGAGGAAGGGGAGGCTGTCACACAATCAAGAGAGGAAAAAGAGAAGATAAGATGAAAAAGGAGAACTAGGAGGAAAAGAAATGCCGATGATACCTTTGCACTCCTCTGTGCTGGAGCGGCGTATTGTGTCCACAATGAAAGACTCTCCAACAGTCCATCAGTGTTCATTAATGTCTGCTGTGTGTTCAGTTTTATGATTTCATGGTTGTTTGTTACAGGAGGCAAAAGGAGAGTGAGCACATAAAAATAGGGAAGTGAGAATCTCAAGCAAAGTGTAGCTTATTGAGCATTTCACTGTAAAATCTTCAGATGCTCTGTTGATGTCCTTTTTTTTTTTTTTTTTTTGTAAACTGCAAGTCCTAATAATGCTGCAAACATTTCCTCTGGGTTGGTATAGAAGCAGACTAGAGTTCCTCTCCGAGTTCCTTGCTGGCCCAGGCCTGTATGTGTGCCAATAATCCCTGTGTCCTGTGTGTATGTGTATGTAAATGTGTGAATGGATGTGTGTTTATTTAGATAATGTTTGGAGTGGGAGATTTTGGTGCCATACTGAAGTCGCTTTGTACTCAGTGAAGATAAATGATTCTGCTATGTGCTAATGGGCCTTTGAAATTCTACTCTGGGCGTCTTATGCGTGACATGTGCCAGTTAGAGCAGTAAGAGTATGGATGGATTTGTGCACTGGAAAAACAGAGACAATTTCCTGTGTTAACTCTCAATGCTATTCTTGTTTTATTATTGTTGGGCATACATGGCCATGTAGCTAATAGAACAGTTTAACTTATTAAGGGTTTCACAGGAGGCAGATAGACTTATCCGATGTTTTAATCCACATTTTGTATATAGTAGAGGTATTACATTAGATAGCTACAAAGATGTTTACAAAGGTATGAAAAACTATTTTGCATTTTATTTCATGGAAATGTATTTTTAGATAAAAAATAGCAATAATATTAAAAATGGAATATTATTGAGTAGGCAAGATTCAATGACTGAGTGTACTGTAACAATCTCGGTGTATGTTCTAGTAGTTTCAGTACCTGTTTGTAAATAGACCACTTCCTACGATACACACAGTGCCAAATTTAGTTCATTCCTTATATTTACTTAGGAACTGAGATACTTAACTAGAAAAGCAATATTTTGAAAAGTTACTCCACACAGCTGTGCTTTGCAGTGTGAATTATGTTTACTCCATATTTCAGAATACATTCCAGAGGAGAAATTTACTACTGCTTTGCAGTATTGAATAGTGACAGCCTGATTTTATTTGACATCCATGAAACCGCTCATTTTATTGGTGTTATGTTGCAGCTCATACTGTATTTCAGTAATTTAAATGTGCCTGGTGTTTCAAAAGTGGGTATACATTTTGATATTCATTATTAAAACTCATTTGAATATTTCTCACTCTGTTTCCAGGTACATCTCTTATTTATGAACTGTTGAATGATTTTAAAATGGCTAAATAAGATGAAAAGGTTTTACATTGTGCGTATTAACTGTGGAAATTAAAATGCATACCCATTTTTAAAACATGCAATAAATTGCTGAAAGTTGATGTTATATATATATATATATTGGTGGCATTCAACCACTGGAGACAGCATTGAGTTTCTTTATCAGTTGTTTGTATGTCCATACCTGTTGTGTTTTATTAAATGTGGAATCTTAACTTGTCATGCATACAATGCTGTTGAAGCACCTGAATAAAACTTAATATATGCACATGTGTCACAACTGTGTTTAATGGCTATTTACACTTTTAAACAAGTGGCCTTTGAAAAAGGTGTTATTATTATTAATATATTTTATCTAACTATATTCATTTTATTTGTGATTTTCAGCACAGTGATACAGTCCGATAAATCATAATACAGATTAATAAAATGTATCTGGTAAATACCTACTAGTTAATGTTTTTTTTACCTTGACAAACTGAGTATATAAACTACAAAGCGAGTATAAAAGGCGGGAAAACACCGGGGTAAAAACTACAATCTGCTGCTGTCGCGTCCGTATGACGCCGTCACTGACGCGACATCGACGTGACGGATACAGGTTGGTTGATTACATTCACAACGACGGAGTACTTGTGATTCCCAGCGGTTTCTCCGACAGCCCTTTTTAGACGTTGTTAAATATATTGTTAGCTACAGTGAAGCTTGAGATTTCTGGAGGCACCGCTGCTGTAGTTTTGGACGTTGACTTTTGAGTGACAGAGAGCAGACTTGTGTTGTAAAGTTAGCTCTGAAACTCCCTCATACTACTCTCAGTTAACGTTAGCTAGCTCCATACCACCGTAAAGTTTTCAAACTCTACCGTTAATTCAAGTGTTTTGTAACACGACAATGTGTCACTGAGCAGTCAGGTCCTCTCATACGACCACAGTTTGTGTAACGCTATATGCGTGCCGATGAACTAAACCACTACTCTGAAGTATATCTGCTTTTGCCCTGCCGACTGTTGTATTAACTATGAAATATGAAATGAGGCGATGGGAACAGTAACGTTACCTTCTTTCTGGTCTGACATGCATGAGAGGCAAGCTCTTACCTGTTTTTCCTGCAAGGACGCTGAATGCGCCCTGACCTGTCGCAGTTTCAACTTTCACAATGATCTTTTAGTCTTTAATAACCTTTTATCTATTTAATCTGTCCTCCACTAAGCCCATAGCAACCCATTTCCAGTCTATAGTGATAGAAATACAGTGACTATAAGCACTAGTGAGCACTATAAGTTACTAGTGAGTTACTATAACTTACTCTAAGAGCTGAGTAGTCATATAGGTCAGAGATGGATGTTTTTTGCCAACCTCTAAACAGTAATGGCAGATATGATGGCTTTCTTGCCCTTTCCTGTTGCTGAAGATATTATCCTCTGTTTTTGTGTGCTCATAATTTTATGAATATACTCCTGCACTGCATAACCTCTGAGGATTTCCTGCTGTAAATGGTAATTGCACCCCTTTCTTGCCAAGCCTGCTTTATGCCCAGCAGGCTAAATGGAAGGATTGTGACAGCAAAAAAATTCCCATACACAGAGGGAGAGCTTTAATATAGGCTACTACAGACAGTAAGGTGTTCCTGGCGCTGTGCTGAGGTGTTATGCTATTACCGTTTTATTAACAAAGATCAAAATGGGATCATGAAACTTTTCCTGTGTGGAAACATTTGTGGAATGTGTGAACAGATGGAGTTTGACACTAAGTTTAAGTTGAGCATACAGACCCTGACAGATTGGCTTCATCGCAGTTCACTGGCAGAACACTTTATTCACAGGCTAAAATAAGTACCTAAGCCCACAGGAAGCCAGAATAACAACTATTAGTTTAGTCTGAAACTTCCATAAACACACACTCAGTCAATTATCCTACGATAAATAAAAAAAGTTTCTAACTTGGAAAAAAAACCCATAAATGAAGCATTATATTTGCTCTTGCCTCCTAGGTTTAGCTGCTCAACTTTGATGCCATTTGTCTGACATGGAGCCGGATGGGGACCTAAACCCCAACACAGATGACCTTCCACTCCGAGCCAATACTAACCACATACTTGTCAGACATTATGTACTGGACCTGACTGTTCATTTTGACAGGAAGGTAATCAGTGGTAGTGCCATTTTATTCCTGGAACCTTGCTCTGGAGTGGGGACTAACGCTGGCACTGGTGAGGGAGCTGGGACTGTAGGGGCTGGAGGGAGTCAGGATGGGTCTGTGTGTAGATTTCCTGGTGTGGATGAAGTGGAGGATGGCACAAAAGAACTTGGGCAGACTGCAGCTGAAAATGAAAATATTCAGTCTTCACATTTGTGGGAAACCACCAGCGACAGTGATTTCACCCTAGTGCTGGACTGCTGTGACCTTGATGTGTCTAAGGTCGAAGCGTTGGACATCACCTCTGTGTCAGCCATGTCTAGCCTCGAACCAGAGGTCGTATCTGAGTGGTTAGGGGGCCGTTCAGAGAACTCACAAGCAGCCTTTGTTCAGAGCCTTATCTCCATGCCCTCTAGCCGGTGGAGGCAGAAGCACCAGCTCTTTTTGCTCTGTAGTCGTGCCCCTGGTGCCCAGTATGGCAACTCACTGCATTTTCATAGAGACCGATGGAGTCTGCAGGTGAGGAAGAAGGGGGTCGCATCACCTCAGGAGTTCCCTCGCACCGTCAGGATCTGCTATGAGACGAGGCCAACGGGAGGCTCTGTGAGGTGGACCAAAGATCAGGACAACAGGTTTGCTTCAAGATGCAAATCATTCAGATACCCTATTCCATCCAACAGTGGTTATTCATAGTATGATTAGACCCCCCCCTTAAAGATTTTAAAACTGGCGACTGGCAGCACATCTGCTCTGAATTCTGCTCCTTGAATTACAGTGTAATATTCTGAGCTTGCCATGTTAGAATAGAATAATTCTGATTCATTAATTCACAAAGCACACCTCAGGCTATTATATTCTGTTCTGTGTGGGGATGCTTTATGTGTATGTGTGTGTGTGTTTGTGTGTGGATCCTTTGAGCATTGAAATGAGGGTTGTTTATAGTTTACCATTGTTTACCCTTCCAGGGTGTGTGTTTACACTGCCGGTTCTCCCATCAACAACCGAGCCCTCTTTCCCTGCCAGGAGCCGCCTGTTGCCATGTCAACATGGCAGGCAACAGTACGGGCCCCCAGTGAGTGTGTGGTTTTGATGAGTGGGGAGGAGAAGACTGTACCTACTGAGGACGGGGACACACGTAAGCTGTTATGTCATAAACCTTTTGTGACAACCAGTAGAAGTCAAGTTGATTTTATTAATGCAAACCATAATTCACAAATTTGCCTCAAAGGGCCTACGACACCTTCTGTTTTTAGATCTTTGATTCGAAAACGTGGCTTATTGTTAATTGATTTGTTCAATTATTAAAACACATTTTACTGAATTGTAAGTATAATACTTTTTGAGTAAATGTGTTTGTAGCATCAAGCATTAAAAAGTCAGCACTGAATGCTTGGTAATAAATATAATTTGGCTTATTTGCTTGTTTGGTCAAATATTTCCTGATTTAAAATGAGGAAATCCGGAAATGTTGCCAATTTTTAACTGCATTCATGCAACATTTCTGCACAGCGGCTTCTGTTAAGACAGGCCTGAACAGAAATTTTGCTTATTTTGTTTAATGAAAAAAGGGAATTGTAGAGAATTATGCAAGGTATTAATTTTGGTATTATTGGGACCTGGACTTTGACTCTGAGTCAGAGTCATCCAAAATAACAACAGAGAATTGTTGCAAAAATGGAAATGTGTGGATGAGATAAATTCAGCTTTGCAGGTTGACTTACATAATTAATCACTCGTCATCATTCTTTGATTGATACAAAAGATGTTATCTGTTTATAACAACCACCACCATCGGTCTGTGTCATCTGAAATGCTGAGAGATACTTTCTACTGATTAGTTAGTGAAGTGACACAAAATTCCAATTCAGTTTGACTTCGACATTTTCATCCTTTCTGTCCTCTACTGCAGGTTTCTTAAACTGGAGTTACTACGTCACTATGCCCATGCCTGCCTCCACCTTCACCTTGGCAGTGGGCCACTGGCGCCAAGTCACAGCAGAAATCCCCCCAGCATTGGAAGACAGGGTGAGAGACAGGACGGATTGTGGTAAGACAGCCAAACCTGCGGCTGGACCTGGGGAATGGACTGAGGCTGAGCTTTTGTCTGGACCTGGAAGCTCCACCAGCAAAGTAGTAAAGGGCTCTCCACTCCAGACTGACAGGTATTTTATAATTTTTCCTTCTTTTCTTCTTGTAAGACCTACTTCTCTCAAGACTGTTAAGTCTGGCCCTTTAACATTCCATGGTGAAACTTTCCTTTCACCATACCAAAAATGGTGTAGGTAAAGTTAGGGTGATGGATAGGGTGCAGCACTCAATCAGCTTTTTATGACTAGTACATTAATGCTTGCACCATAGTACATTGGGTTCAACACTCAGCAGAAATGATCTTTGGAGACCAAAAAAAGCACAGCTGACATAAAATTTATAGAGGTGCAGGATATAGACTTGAGGCTGTGGCATTATAGAGGGCTGACTTGCTGTGGGCAGGGCAAGGTTGGGCTGGGGTCTCCCTCTCCACTGGCCAGCAGGTTGGCAGGTCTGCCAGTGGTTTCCAGTAATCCTCCTCCTCCCCTTATGGTTTTCCTCCAGCAGTAGCCCAGCTGTAGCCTTCTGCAGGCCCCTGGAATCTCCCGCTACAAGGAAGGCCTTTATTTTCAATGAATCGCTGGAAGGAAACTTGGATGTCGCTTAAAATCTTTGGAACAGTTCTGATGCTGAGGGTAGAGTTAGTGCTGGATATTGAATTTAGAGAGTATGAGATTGCATGTCGGCACCTAGATATTTTTGGGATCACTGTGGTTTGCCTTTGTGACGTATATATTCCATATTTCCACTGCTTTCATTTCCATGCTTAGCACAGAGAGACAGGACACATTGTGTCGTATTTGGTTCACCGACTCAAGAACTGTATATTGTTTCAACAAGAAATTTCATTAAACCGTCGTTATTAACCTTGGATTAAACTTTTCTTCCCCATTTTAATCTGCTACAGCGGAGACCAGACCACCCGCTCAGACTCTGCATTCTGTTACTCTTCCCTTGAGGATGAGGGGTTCTCTGTAACTGATTATTCAGGCATGGTGGATGACGGCATCTCTTGTTCCCATGGCGACTACCCTTGCCGATTTACTGAGCGGTCGGCTAGGTCCCAGCGGGTGATTCCACACCGTGTGTTTGGCCCCGTCTGCTTGCTGCAGAAGGCCCAGGTGGAGTTTTGACAAAGAGCCACTGAGACTAGAGCTAATTATATTTTATATGATTAGAAGAGACAGTTAACATCAGTTCACGTTTGTGTCATTATGCCAAGGATGAATTAGTATGTATTCCCATGGATGCTACTTCATTCCTCGTACTCTAAATGGGAATTTCTAGTCAAAGGCTTTTGCCTGTTCAGTCAGCTCTGAGCTGATGAGGCCTCTTAGATGAATGGTGGAAACATTTTAAAGAACAAACAGTAAGTGCAGCTGCCTTAGTCTCAATACTAGATATCCTCTGACCTGGAGCACACAGAACCATCGTAGACATACACAGATATATGGAAGAGCAAATAAATTATTTTATATCCTACCCACCTGTATTAATATACAAACATCTGATTCAATGATGATGGTGCAATTGCATAGTAGTAACTTGTTGCTTTCCTTTTGCAGATGGTCCTCAAGCTGTTGCCTGGATGTTTGGCTGCAGCCCACACCGTTCTGGGGGTCCACCCCTTTCCCCGCCTTGATGTTCTCATCGTCCCAGCAGGATTCTCCAGTCTGGGCATGGCCAGGTAATGACACCTAGGTTTTTGGTAGAATGGGGGAATGGGTGTATATTGTGCAAAATACTGGAAGGAAGATAGGGTAAGGAAGTTAGAAAACCAGAGAAAACTACTAATAAACAGGCTCATAATTTACATTGTGTGTTTTTATCATTTGGGGGCAGCAGAGACAAGCTGTGAACACAAAGCAACATTAGAATGAATTTGTAGTAGTGTTCATGGCCACCTGATGAACTTGCAGTAAGTCCAATATTCCCTCTCTCTCTGTTTTGGTCCCCACCAACTGCTGCATTATGTTCACCACCTAGTAGCTGAATTAGTCTGTTTGCTGATTGATGCTTGGCAGTTTGTGTACTGTTGGTTGTTTTAGCGCTGTTTGCTAAAAAACAGCTGCCTGCTTCATCTGGAAACAATGCTGATGAGAGCTGTGAGTAAAAAAAAAAAGAGTCGTGTTGCGGGCCTTAACACCAAAACAATGAGCTAAAATGCTCTGTAAAGGGTAATTATCTATGGGTTTATTACAAGTGACACCTTCCACATTACAGTAGTTTCTGCAGCCATGGCTTAGCATTTTTACTACATACTGCCATCAATTAAAGTAGGTGTATCCAGGCCAATTTTGGACAATAATAATTAGTTGTAAAGAAACGGAACATCAAAGACTTGCCACAACAAAGCTAAAGCCAGCACTTTTTTTATTTTTCAACTTTATCCTGCTGCTTCTATTTTGGTTTTCTGGGTTGCATGATTAATGACATACTTCACATTTCAAAACCCTCTCACTCTGTCTCAATCTTCTTTGCGGTGATCCTCCACATCGGAATTCTTTTATTAAAGAATTAAAGAGTCCAGCCGAAACTCCCTCTAAACTCTGTTCAGTCACTTGTCATCCCTCCCTTTTCTCCTACATAACCACTTTCAGCACTGGTCTTTGGGACCTGCTAGCATTTCTGTGGCACTTATAAAAGGATGTGTTTCAGTTGTGTATTTGAGATTTTTTTTTTCCAGCCAGACAAAATGTAATCACATAAAAGTTGGCAGACAAAGGAATCTTCAGCCTCTTCACTAGGCCCCTACTTAAATCATTTTCCATACACTATCCCTGTTCTCTTTCATTGGTTCATTATTAATCCTCTACTTTTCTTTACTTTTTCTATTCCTTCATCCCTTTTCCAAAACGCTGCTCCTCCCTTCCCTCATCCTGTTTCCAAAATTCACCACCTTCCTTCATCCCTTTTCCATCCCAAACAGCTCTCTTCCTGTAACGAATTCCCACCCCATCTCTTTACCTGTTCACACTTTTTTTCTAAATTTTTAGCCATTTTAGCCTCTAAAGTTGACACTCTCAGCCAAGTCAGTCATGTTTACACCTTTTCCACCCCTTCCTCCAAACATAACATGGTTCTTCCTTCTTCTTTAATTCATTTTACCCACCCTAAAAAGACCCCAAAAACCTAACCCCAAACCCTGTACTTCTTGATGAGCACTGCTTCATTGACTCAGCGAGTCAGTCAGTAGTCTCCTGTGTTATATCTTTTTATTTTTTTTTTACCAGCAGAGGTTTCAGGTGGTCTGCAGGCGTTTTGCTCCACACTAGACCTGTGTGTATTTATGTATGTATGTTTGTGTGCAGTTTTAGTGGAGGTCTGTGGGCAGATGGGTGGGCACAAATCCACAGGATGACAGATTCATTGTCCTACGCATTAGATAATTCTCCTCTATGGATTTCTTTGTTCCCTCTTCACCCTCATGTTCCCCTCTTTTAACTCCTTTCCACTCCACTTCTTTTCCATATTTATCCCTCTTTTATTACCTTACTCTCCTTTTCTCTCATCCTTCTAGCCTGTTTCCAGCTTCTGTCACTTCTTCTTCACCCTTTACTGTCTCTTATTTTTTTCTTTCCATCTCCTGATTTCTTGTTTTTCTCTTTGCCCTCATAATATGCCTAAATCTCCAAGCCCCCTGTGTTTGCCATCCTTCTCTGTCCTCTCCACTTCTCTGTACGGTCGATAACTCTTCAGTCTGGCCTCTAGCATTCTACACTTGATAGTTTTTCTGGAAATCAAGTTTTATATTTTCAATGCAATATAGTACTTTTAGCTGGTATATGGCATGCCTGTAGATATGACTGAAACCCAGCCAGTAGCCATATGAATAAAGTCAAAATTGGAAATTGACGCAAAATAAAGACCATCAATGACTGGCCCTTCTTTTAAAATTGTGTTGATAAAGTGAACTGATTAGGGTGGTCAGTGAACGTTATCCCAGTGTCTGCGGTCTGCAACCACAGTCTCTCTTTCTCTCTGTCTGCTTTTTCCTCTCCCCGGCAGCCTCCCTGGAGAAAAGTGCCCCAGACAGGATATGAGCTCATACCTGAATATGTATTCTGCGTGAATTTCTGACGTTATAGCCAAGAGTGGTCTCAATCAGAGATATTTTGAAGGACAGGGCGACAAGAGGGCTGCAGTCTGGACATACACATAGCTCTCAACTTTGCGTACTTATTTTGACTACTATACAGAGTGCTCTTTGATCTACGGAAAATCTTTCCCCTCTTCTTGTGAAAATCTGCCTCCCTGCTATATTTATTTTGAACAGACATCAAGTGCTAACACAGAGGCTGTTCTGCTGTGGCTTTTGCTTGACGGATGTTTTCTTTCCCTTATGAGGATAACTCCCAGGCACTTATCCCTCTTGCCCTCGCTGCTTAGACTCCAGTTAGCTGCAGATGACAGAGAAGAGATTTAGGGCCTTCATTAAGCTTCAGACAGCACCTGCACTGACTCCCTATAAAACTCTGCATGGGTCTCAACCCAGTGTCAGTTCACTGCATCCTCCCCTCAGTGCGGGTGGTTCGGTCCTGCATGCCTCCGCACTTAACCACGGGTTTGTGCCATAGGAAGGCGGGGAGGTCAACCAAAATGGAAGCATAGATTGAGATGGAGATGAGAGACATAAAGAGGGTAGAGGCGGGGTTCACGACAGGCCAGCAGACCCCCAGGATGTGGGAGAGGATGTGTGGATTATTCCCAGCAACAAAAGCCATTAGCCCCTGGAAGGACTTCAGAGACTGGCGCTATTTAATCTAGAGATTGGGAGGTATGTGGGCCCCAGTGTTTGGGACCAAGCCAAGCACAAGTTTTTGTGCAGGGCCCCAGTGGAAACAGCAGGAGTGGCAGAGCAATGGGACAGGGAGCTGTGGCAAGGAGGCATGAAGCTGCGTGGTGTGATACAGAGAAGGGAGGGCAGAGGCGAAACGGGGGAGGATACACAGTGGCGTGAAGTTTTTATACTGAGATATGGAGAGGGAGGGCAGGAAACCAAAGATTAAGGAGTCAAGTAAGGGCAGGTCTACATTCAACGGTTGTGCCCCTTACACTGTGCACCCACAGGGCTTCTCACACACACACACACACACACACACACACACACACACACACACAGGGTACTAGGCTTACGCAAATGTAGCTTCCAGGAGATGCTGCCAGTCAACCGTTCATAGGATTTCACATAACCAATTTTTGTTTATTTTATGTAACAATGAGAGCCTCAGTCTGTTGTATTTTAACATAATCCTTATGTTCTACTTTTGCTCCAAGAGTTCTTTAGCAGTCCAAGTTATCAGTAGATGGATATTAGCCTGCAACAGGCATACTACATATGCCAAACAATATCTTCTCTTTCTTTTAGTCTGTCTGTGCACTTTCATAGTGTTTGTTTCTGTTCCTATGAAAAACCAGGCTAAGAGAGTGGAATGTAGAAACAACACTGTGACATCGAGGAGCCAATAAGGGACAGGAAGAAAATTACAGTACGGTTAAACATTGATAGAGGAGTATAGATGAGGGATTAAGAGGTGGCAGATAAGAGAAAACAAAACACAGTGTGAAGGAGTTGCTGTCATTAAGAACAGTTGGGGAATCCCTTAAACTTACTTCTGTTTCCAGTCAGTATAAAAAAGCTCATTGTCCTGATTGAAGGACATAGGAAGTTTGTGAACTGAAGTTCTAAATATAATGAATCTCTTCTAAGTAGTCATGGTCAAAACTCCCACTGTGTCCTGAACATTGGTATTTAATTGTGTGTGTGTGTGTGTGTGTGTGTGTGTGTGTGTGTGTGTGTGTGTGTGTGTGTGTGTGTGTGTGTGTGTGTGTGTGTGTGTGTGTGTGTGTGTGTGTGTGTGTGTGTGTGTGTGTGTGTGTGTGTGTGTGTACGTACATTTGTGCCTTTTTATTTTTGTGTGCCTTAGCTCATACTATTTTTTTTTTTTTTTTTCTCTTTGGATGTGTAATCTCCTCATTACATCTCGACCACGTCATTTGGTTCCGACTAGGAGTGACAGGAAGGGCATGGCATTTCCTCTCACTCTTTGAAGCTGAGGTCTATCTGTCCCAAAGCGCTGTCTGGACTTTGTAGCACCAATCGGAGATCAGAAGTGCAGTCTGCCCAGATGAAGACATGTCTGACGTCCTTGAGAACGTGGTAGTTTCCCCGCATTTTTTGGAGAAATTACACAGGTGTTGAAACATGCTTTTTAGTAGTGTGGGTGATGTGGGTTTTGTTTTGCTTCTCTGTTGACATGCAGATTCCTGTGCTTGTGTTTGTATGAATGTGTGTATTGTTCAAATAATGGTGTAAGGATGTGTATTTAGTGCGAAGGGATGACGTCAGAGGAATGCTACACAGATCATTTGTCATGGCCTGTTATCTGCTGTTTTCCTCTGGTGGTGAAATGAACACTTTTTAAGTTATCATGTTTTTCACACTTTGGTTATCTTTAAGTTATAGCAGTAACTGAGCCAGATCAGTGTGTAATTATTTGTTGTTTGTGCTGGGTTTTTTGTGACCGGGAGTAGGGAGTGCCGCCCCACACCACTTGATGGTGGGCTCTGATGAACCCACCCACACACATACTTAAACACATCAATCTCTCAGCATATCTCAATGCACTTCAAGCAGAATAACATAAACATAGTGTACAAACAGGCTTCTCGCAAACATGTTTATTG